AAAAACATAACACAGGTTGCAGCGATCGCGTATTATGGCAACGAGATACACACCACTTTGTGGTACAACTTTTTCAGGATCTCTCGCCACTTCTTCGATCTTGTTAACAGCTTCGAATGGCATTCTCCCGTACGCTTGACTGCTTGCGTGATGTTCAGCAATTTTTGTAAAATTTTCATTCGATAACGTGGTTCGTCACGATATCATTTATGTCCCTCTATTAGCAAGTTATTTGCTCGTTAATCCACGTAACGCGGCCTCGTGAGAAATTGCTGTAACCCATACCGATGGATTTGATGTTATTGCAGATTACGGCAATACAGATTCTGATGTATTTCGCGAAACCGTTATATCTCTCAGAATATAACAACGTAAATTACGGCGACGATCCCCGTTCGCGGTATATTCCCAGAACTTAGGCGGAAATTTACGCGCGCTTGCTTAACGATCGAGTCGAAATCCGGCGGCGTTTCGCAAAGCGCGACGAAATGATGAGAATTCGCAATGACGACAACGATGACGATGACGATTGGATCGTCCACGATGGTTAGATCGTATGAAAACGGCAATGCGACATTGCGTATTCGCGTTGCGTAACGCTTTCCTCTACGAGCTTTAACGGTAGCAGACTGACGATTTCCTCCGTCTGTCAACCGGCAAACGATCGTGCTCTCGTGTAATTGCCATGATTTCCCGCTTGGTGTAACACTAACAGTAGCGTAACGCGCAGGAAGATCGATGAACGGAAGACCGGAGACGAGATTTCTTATATGCGTTTTACAATAGGATCGCTGGAAGTAACCCGTAAGAAATTAACCAATCATAATCGATTATTTTTTCTGATATTCAACTGTGATTGGTTCCCTACGGCTTACGGTTTACGGCTCTATTGTAGAACAGGGATTAGAAATAGGCGAATTAAAAGATAAGAATGGAAATTAATTTTGTAAAATTTTGAATTCTTATTGACCCTTTGGAGACGACACAGTTTTGTTATTAAAAAACAATTCTTTTTATAAATTTTATTAAAATATTTTATAAGTGAAGAATCTATCGATACAATATATCGTATGCATAATCTTTTTGATAATTAATCCTAGTATGATAATTACGGATTCAACGTACCCAATGCGATTGTTTACATTATTGTAACTTTTTTATAATATAATTTGAAGACCCGGATTGAAGCTGAAAAAAAACTTTAAACTATCGATAGATATGATAAGCCTGTAAGAATATTTTTTTTTGCATTATTCTCTTCATCTTTAATGTGAAAATGCATGAAAGTTCAAAGAGAGTACTTGGGACTCACATATGATTAGCTTGTAAATTTTCGGCGTTCAGAGTACGCCTTTATTTTTTATTAAATATACATTTACTGTGTTTCGGATAGTATAAAGTATAAGTGCACGAAAATGTAGAACTAAAAAGAATTATATTTCAATAATAAATAGTAGAAATTTTATAATTTCTGTCAGTCTTCGGAAATCGCTCGGTCGGAGTGGATTTATTA